GTCGTTTTTTAGAGATCATTACCACTCCTAGAACTTCTTCTATTTACTTTTTCTCTAAAATTCACAAACCTAACAACCCAGGTCGACCCATTGTCTTGGCTCGCAGTTGTCCCACCGAACTTATTTCCAACTATTTAGACAACATTATGGCTCCCATCGTCAAAACTTTACTATCATATATCAAAGACAGCCAACACGCTCTTCAAATTTTTCGCGACTTTAATTTCCTCGGCCAAAGCAAACTTTTTTTCACTGTGGATACTACATCTCTTTATACTGTCATTCCGAATGACGAAGGTCTTCTGGCCCTCAAACATTTTTTTTATCGACGCATTGTTAAGGAACCTAGGTCTGAAACACTACTTCCCCTAGCCGAACTAGTGCTTACACTCAACTGTTTTTCATTCGGGGACAATTATTTTAAACAAACCAATGGCGTAGCCATGGGTACTAAAATGGAACCCAGCTATGCCAATCTCGTTGTAGGTTTTGTTGAATACTAATTTTTCAGCCAATAAATGGCTCAAACCTGAACTCTGCGGTCGCTATATTGACGACTGTAACGGCGCTTACTCCTCTACCAGAGAGTAGTAGTAGTAGATACTTTTATTTAGCTAGGGTAACTCCTACAGTTACAAAAACTGATATCCTTAGAGGCCCTAGATAAAAGAAATATAAAAAGACTCAAAACTAATCCTAACTAAGCTAATAGAAGAAAAATCCTAAAAGAGGTTAAAATTTATTACAAACTATTGATAAAAACTACAAATTACGATTAAAAACTTCACATCCATGATAATAAAAAGGTTTTTTCGTACATTCTAGTTTGATGGAGGGAAGACGAAGATGATTACTTTGCCGCGTCTTTCTCTGTACGATATCTCTATTAAAATAAAAGTGGTCCATTAAAAATTGCGGCCAGCGCTTATCTAGACATTTCTTCACAAGGTTTAACGTGTGAATCTCCCGTCTAAGTCCCAGCGTATCATAATTAAGGTGAGCTAGCGTTTCATCACTGCTGTTAGTTTGCACGATAATCCTTGCCGCACGTCTCTGCAATTTTTCTATACTATCAGCATTCGCACGGCCGCAGCAGTTCCAAACGGCATCACAATAATCAAGAACAGGAAGAATAAATGATCTATAAATTATACTAGTAGTATGCATACTAATGCTCCGCCTGGTGCGGCCAAGAATTCCTATTCTCTTACTAACTTTGTTTACTACTTAATTTACGTGCGTGTTCCATGAAAGCGACTCATCCAAGATTACACCTAGGTATTTATACTCAGCAACCCGTGTTCGCTCCTAATGCCATCGATATTCACAGAGAGATTAGCATTTGCTAACCAGTAGAGCCAGTACCCAATAAAACACATTCAGTTTTGCCTTGGTGAATAAAAGGACTGTTGTCCAAAAGCCAGTCATTAACCTTGGCAAGTTCACTGGTAAGTGTACTACTTATTTCTTGAGCATTACTAGCAGTGAAATAAATAACTGTATCATCAGCGTACATCAGAATCTGGGCAGATCGTTGACAAACAGGACAAAGAGTAAAGGGCCAAGAATTGACCCTTG